ACCCCATTGCGAGGGTGGGGAATAATGGAAGGGTTTAGGGTTTAGGGCTAATCAAACAGGCCACCATTCTACGTACTTTGCAGGTTCAGGTATTCCTTAAATCAGACTTTCAGGGATTTAGTATCATCTACAGTATATTCGGAACTATGGCAGTTTAGATATGGAGCTTTCCCCCACTAAACCCTCATATCCTCAGCCCCTCAAAACGTCAGAGCCCTAAACTTTAAATCTCAAACCCCAAGTCTACATCCAAAATCCTAACAGCTAAACCTTAGATCTCAAAACCTGAAACTGCAATCGCTAAATCCTGAACCCTACACCCTAAATCTCAAGCCCTAAACCCTAAGTCCTCAATCCTATACCCTAAACCCTCTATACCCTGAACCCTGTATAACCTAAACCCTAAATCCTATACCCTCAACCCTATACCCTCAATGATCCCGGCTCCAGGCTTTGCATGCCAAGGAGCGAGTCAGGATCCAGCCTGCGGACAACGGCCTCTACCAACTCCTGGGCTCACATTTAGGGGTTTAGGGTTTAGGGTATGAGCTACAGTCCAAACTCCTTAAAGGGGGTTTATATGGGGGATTATATCGGGGAGTATTATAGAGGTTATTAAGGGGGATACTAGGAGTTTAGACTCTAGTTCATATGGTTCTAGAAAAGGGTTGTATAAACGGTTTAGGGTTCAGGGCTTAGGGTTTAAGATTCAGGGTTTAAGTTTTAAGGTTTAGGGCTCAGGGTGCAGGATTCAAGGTTTAGGGTTGTGGGCTTGATGCAAAGAGGTTCCCACCCCAGACCGTGGAGAATCAAATAGAAAAGAAGATGGAAAATGAAGTGAAAACTGGGTTTATATGGTGGGATCAGGGCTTCCCCAACATAAGGTGTACCTTTTTGGTGGGTCCCAGAATAAGGATTATGGTATGTTAGAGTCAATATTTTGGTCCGTTTTGTGGAAACTAGCATTTACAGAATTTTCAACTTCCGGGCGCTGAAATTTAGGGTTGAGGAGCGCGAAGGTTTAGGGTTTAGGGTTTAGGGTTTAGGGTTTAGGGTTTTGGGCTGAAGGGGTTCAATTTCGGGTTTCTGGACTAGGGCTTAGGGCTACGACTTGCCTGTGTTACACGGGTTCTAAGCCTACTTTCTGAGAACTTCTTAACTCCCCCCCAGACCCTCCAAGTGTGACCGCCCTAAATCCTACCTTAAACCCAAAGGACCTTCAGTTTTAGGACCCTATGGTATAATTCTTTGTATGAAATCCTAAAACTGAAGGTCTTCGGGGTCTAAGGTAAACCCTAAACCCTAAACACTCGCCAAGACTGGTCCAGACTCTGATTTCTCCACGCAGCCAGTGATGTCAACTGCCAGGCCCCTGCATTTTCAGGGTCTAAATCCTAAATAGTTTCCACGTTCGTTTCCATTATCCCTATATAACCCCTATATAATATGCCCCTATATATAACCCCTATAGTAGTTTCCAGATTATTTTCCATTATCCCTATATGACCCCTAGATAACCTCTATATAACCCCAATATAGCCCTTGAGGTCTGGGGCTCAGGAAGATGTGGGGATGCGAGGGGATTCGGTAGGGGTTGTATGGAGAACCTGGGATTTAGAGCACTTAGGTTGGAGCCATAGGGGCTTCTAGCTTCTTTTCATAAGAAGATGGATGCAAATTTGTGTCAATTTGTGTTACATGCCCGAAGGCTCTCCGCCTGCTCCATAGGGTACGTTTTTTCTCAAGTTCCAGCGTGGTAGGTTGCCAAAAACATGCTCCCTTTGGGGTTCCTAGTAGTACGGCCTCTTGTATATTTAGCGTACCCCAAATGGAAGCATGATTGTGCCAAGCCCACATGTAATCTATTTGAAGAGCTTACCATCCTCCTGAGTTTCCGAATGGCAAGCTTAAGGAAATAGCATTTACTGGCAAAAATGAGATGGGAACTTCTCTGGGAATTAGGGTGGTCAATGAGGGAGTGGGTTCCTCAAACCCTAAGCCCTAAACCTAGTATAGGAGATGATATACAGGCTGAATTAGGGATCCGTTCCCTCATGTCCTACTCAGGTCCAGGTCCATCCTGAACCCTGAACTAGTCCCTGATGGTCAGCACTCTGGGCTCCTTTTACTTTCACTACTTGGGGTTTAGGGTTTAGGTTCCCTACCTCGGATGGAGGAGATCTTGCACCCCTTGACGTCCCCAAGTACGGTAGCTACCGTTTGGGCCACCTGTTTCTGGAAACTTCCATATGGGAAAGACCAAGAAAACAAGTAAACACACGAGATAACAGCGAAAAGGGAAAACACGACAAACAAACATCTTCTTTCTCCACGGTAGGATGCGGGCTGTGCAAATCAATGATGACAATTTCTCGTGCTGCTAGCCCTTAAGCTGAATTAGGTGTTTTTTACTAATCTTGCCACTGCAGCGCGGATTGACAGCCTCTTGCTGGCGCTTCGGGCAGCTTAGGTAAAACAACAGTGTCAGAGTTCGAGGTTCCTGCGACTTTTTATGAGTGGTGTTGTAAGAACTGTCGCTTAGCTGCGACCTCCGGTGACTACCCAAGGGTTGCAATTTGCCCCTATTCTTCATCACCCCCTGTTTGAGTTTGGGCCTCATGCGTTTGGGCGATCAGTAGGCCACAGAAGAGGTGGATGGAGCATTGCGAGAGATGTGATGATCGAACTTGAAATGCGCAATCCCTAGAGGACCCTAAACCCTAACCCTAAACACTAAACCCTAACCCTAAACCCTTAGCACTAAATCCTAACCCTAACCCTAAACTTCCCTGACCTCAAACCCTCAACCTGTCCTCCCGAATCAGGATAAGACACCCGAAACTCGGAATCCGTAAGCCTCTGCAATCTTTCAATAGTCCAGGCGCCAGAACACCCGAACTAATGCCAAACTGTACATCCTGAAACCACAACCCTCAACCCTCAACGTTCAAACCAAAACCCTAAACCCTAAAACCAAAACCCACGACCCTGAATCCTCAAATCAAAACCTTGAACCCTAAACACTCAAACCAAAACCTTGAGGACATACTGTAGATAATAAAATCCTGCATGACCTTACTATAGCAGATCCTCAACCCTAAACCCTAAACCCTAAGAAGATCAAATCCTGAACATCTAAACTCTCCATATTTGGATCCACCGTAGAACTTCCTAAGTCTTATCCCTCAAACTAAAATCTTAAGGCCGTAGAACTTCCTAAGCCCTAAACCCTAAACCCTAAACCCTCTTCTATCCGAGCGGCTTGAGGAGCTGCTTCAACTCCTTCACTGTACCTTGGTGTCTTTCTACCCTGGTTCCCCGTACGGAGAGTTTCGCAGTTTAGGGTTTGACCTGCTTAGAGTTTAGGGTTTAGGATTTAAGGTTTAGGGATTAGGGCTTAGGATTTAAGGTTTAGGGTTGTTTTAGGGCGCGTTTTGGGCGTTTTGGGTCCAATGACCATGGGGGCTTATGACATAGTCTTCGGGTTTAAGGTCAGGGTTGGGCTCTCAGCCTCAATACCTGCGCCCCATTCTTGAATGGTTAAAGGTGCCTACTTGCGGGGTCTATATCTTATAACTATAAGGTTTAGGGTTTAGGGTAATTAAGGGGACTTAGTAAGTAGGCTACTATTGGGATGCTTGGGGATATTATATGTCTTACAAGGGTTCCCTACTTACTAAGTCCCCCTGACCCTTCAAGTAGAACATTGCCTAGACCCCAAACTGTAAGCCCTGAACCCTAAACCCTGAACCCGCAAGCCTAACGCCAGGAGAGACACAGTGCCAAGCACTTAATACCAAGCTGTAGCCAGAGATCACGACTGAATTTGTGTGGGGAGGGCTGGCTCATAAGATACCTACACAAAGCAACCGCCATCCGATAGCCTTCCCGCTTCACTGGCCGACGTACAATTCCTACAGAGGCTGCAATAAAGCGACTTGCGACCCACTTTCCGCGCAGGATTGGGGCTTATTCACCAACATTGGGGTGACCACATTGTGTTCGAGGGTCACGGGGAACCAGGAAGTAGGTTAATAACCCCTATAACCCATATAGTAACCCTAGTTATCCCCGGTATTAACCTAATTTTTCAAGTCCCAATGACCCTCCAAGTACTGAACATGAGCAGATCCCCATATAGCATGGCCAGCCGTCAGCCTAAAAAAATGGCATCCCATACGGCAAGCCCCAAAAAACCGATGTGATCTTTGAAACAACCAGACAGAGAATTAGCGTCCTGAAGAGTGAATGATATTGGTTCTGATTGTTCAGGTCTCTCGCGGTTTTACACGTGCTATAATCTAAACTCCTAGTATCCCCCTTAATACCCCTATGGTACTCCCCTAGATAATCCCCTATATAACCACCCTTTAAGGAGTTTAGACTATGGCTCACATGGGTTCCCTTGCTACCCCCTTCTAGATGACCACCCTCAGGCTCCCTCTTTAATCAAGCCTAGGGGAAACCCATGAGTTTAGGGTTCCGAGCTTAAGGTTCCACATTGCACAAACTGTCTGACCCTTCAAAAAATTCCCAGCTTCCATTTCATCCTCCATGTTGGTTGCTCCATTTGATTCTCCATTATTAGGGTAATGTCCCTCAACATCATCCATACATATATATATATAAATATATATGCGTATCCCTTACATGACCCCTATATACACGCATAGCCCGTACGTATCTCCTATATGTCCCCCAATATCTCTATATG